GCATTATGTACAGTGGCCGGAGCTATATACCGTATTTCTCAGTGCATTTGAATTCTTCACACGACTAATGTATCAGCGTTTAAAAGGTAATTATCGTTTTGGGGGTTTGACGCACCAAAACAATGATAATATTTGGAGACACGCCACAGTGGATTAACTGTGACTGTCCTCGAGGCTAATTGCGACCGTCTAGTTATTTTGATCTGCCGGTCACGTTAATATGTGCTGTGATTTACTAAGTTTGTTGTGGTTGTCAATTACGATACGTGTAGCGCTTGCTTATGGTTCGTTAACTTGTACTTCTTCGTTTCGACAATATCAGAATGACGTTTACATATCTCGGTTGCGTTATTTAAAGAAAATGTATTTTCTTGATCTATGGATACCTTCTGCGTCATTTTTCCGTGTATAGATTATACATCGAGACGATTCCTCCCATAAATCATCAAAATCGCATTCACACACTATATTGGAATAGATAGTCAAAAGCCGGGTAGCAAAGAGGTAGTGATGGGGCAAAAAAGGTAGTAACGGCTGCAGTTACTACTTCTTTCCTTTCAATTACTAACTGTTTACTAGCGTAAGTAGTAAAGAGGTCGCAAAAAGTTAGTAACGGTTGCAGGTAGTAACTGTTTACTAACGTAGGTAGTAAACAGGTAGCAAAAGGGTAGTCATGGTCGAAGAAAGGTAGTAACCACTGCAGTTACTACCTATTTGCTTGCAGTTGCTACCTTTTTACTAACTTTTTTAAAAAGTGTACAGGAAGCGGGCATACAACATCACAGGTAAACAATTAGATACAAAGTTAAGGAATACAATATTTTGAGGGACGATAGGCGCAACAGCGGAACACTTACAATAGCGAGTACAACAATACTACATTGTTGCTCTTCCCATACACAAGAAAAGACGAAAAAAAAAATAAACACCACGTACTACGCATGAAAAACAATATATATGTACAAAAGAGTACAATGCCCCACTGCAAAACACGTTTTTCGCTATCGCAACAACAAGAACAACAGCAAAATATAACTATACTGGCTCTGTTACCTGCTCCACAAAAGAACAAAATTGATCAATGTTTGTAATATTAACAGCTTCACCTGGTAGCGCGTTCCAAGCGTTGACAGCGCGAGGGAAAAAGGAATATTTAAACACATAGCTGTGGGCACTGAAGGGACGTATACATTTATCATGGTTCGTCCTTCTAGAACGGCGGCCAGGCGGATGAATATAGTCGTCTTTACAGATTTTAAGGTGACCGTGAAAAAGGAAATTAAAAAAAACTTCATGGAAGCAACATGACGCCGGCAAGACAGAGTTGCTAGGTGCGCTTGATGGCGCATGTCCGTTGCACTGTCGCGCCAAGAGTATTTTGAGTATATAAACCTCAGGGCCCTGTTCTGCAATTTTTCAAGTTTTTCGCGAAGGTAGTTTTGATGAGGGTCCCACACTATACTTCCGTATTCTAGAATGAGCCTGACCAGGGTTTTGTAGGCGGTTAGCTTAACTGCTGAAGGTGCTTTGTTCAATTTTCTACGCAGGAATCCGAGTTGTTTAAATGCCTTGGCGCATGTACTGGTAATGTGCCGTTCCCATTTTAGGTCTTGCGAGAATGTGACGCCCTGACATTTTACTTTGTCATCTTTGCTAATATTGGAACCATTAATATTGTACACAAATGACAAAGGTCGTTTTTTTCTTGGTTAGGCTTATTAACGTGGTTTTCGACATATTTATTTCCATTCCCCACATCTCGCACCATCGGCAAATGTTTTGTAAAGAAGAATTGAGTTTCAATTGGTCATCGATACCGCGTATTGTAGTGTAAATGACGCAGTCATCTGCGAACAGTCACAATGTTACACCTGGTTCCGCACAAGAAGAGATATCAATAACGTAAACAAGAAATAATGTTGGCCCCAAAACAGACCCTTGGGGTACACCGTACAAAACACAAAGGCAGTCAGAGTCTACGTTGTTTTAAGTTACATACTGGGAGCGATTGGTTAAGTAGGCCGAGAACCATGTATTTACTTTGCTATTAATTCCAAGGGATTCAAGCTTGGCTATTAATTTGGAATGAGGCACACGGTCGAAGGCTTTCGCAAAGTCTATGAATATTGCGTCAGCCTGAAGTTTGGAGTCAATTATGCCAGAGAAGTCATGAATATCTGCAAGTTGCGTTACCGTGGAGAGACCGCTACGGAATCCGTGTTGCTTCGGGTACACCATATTGTTAGATTCTAAGTAATTTATAATGGCTTTGTTGAGGATGTGCTCCATTAATTTACAACAGTAGGTCATCAGCAATATGGGTCGATACGTGTCCACCAGAAATCTGTTACCACTTTTATGGATCGGAATTATTCTTGCGTTTAGCCAGTCTCTCGGAAGTGCACCAGTTTTCAGTGACAGCATAAATATTTTAAACAAAAAAAAGGAGCAAACTGTTCTGCATATAACGCCTAAGAAACGCATTTGGGATTTTATATAGTCCCAGTGATTTCTTAACATCAAGTTGTAAAAGCAGGTTCAAGATACCTTGTTCGGTTATCTCGATTTCCGGCATGGCTGAGTCACGTTCCAAAAGCGGCCCTTGAACTGGGCATGCTTGGGTGAATACCGATTGGAAAAGGGAATCGAACGAGCTAACTATTGCGCGCGCGTTTCAGTAACTATGCCGTTGATTTCCGTCTTACGGATTGCACTGTCAGGCTTAGCTAGATAACGCCAAAATTTCCACGGTTGTGTTGTCATAAAGTCGGTTAGGGTGTGTGAAAAAAAAAAAAAGCCTTCGCTTCGCGCAACAGGCTTTTAAATTCTTGGTATGACAGACTTATTACAGCTGGATCGCATTTACGCTTCCGCATTCTTTTCAGCTTCCGTTTCATATGAATTGTTTCTCGCGTTATCCAAGGAGTCCTTCGTTTTGTCCTCTTACGTTTCGTAGGAATGTAGGTTTCGTCACAGTGGAAAATTGCTGCCTTAAATTTTAACCACAAGTTGTCAACATCATCTGAAGGTTCAGCGTAAAAATTGTATAGCTGCATCTCTAGGCAATCAATAATACTTTCATCGGCCGCTCTGGAATAATCTTTAATAAATATATGTGAATTTTCATTGTCGCTTTTTGCCGCGCTAAGATTCAGAAATTCTATTAAAACCATTTTATGGTCGGAGATTCCATCTTGCATCATAACTTGAGCATTTATTGAGCTAGAAATTAAAATAAGATCTAAGATATTGGAAGCAAGCCCTTGAATGCGTGTCGCTTGCGTTACACATTGAGATAACGAGAAACTTAGCATAGTATCCAGAAGTTGCTCGCAGCTATTTGCCTCTCTATTGCAGGCGGTTAGGTTTTCCCAGTCTATTTCTGCCAAATTGAAGTCGCCAACAAGTACTAGCTTCGTCCGATCGTGCATTTTCGCGAGGAGATAGTTGTGCAGTTCCGTAAGATAAGATTCAGGTGCCCCAGGTCGTCTGTATACTCCACCTGTTAGTATAGGTGGGGTTTGAAACGTTACAGTGCACCACAGACTCTCGTGGTTCGGTATACCATGTTCTTCTTGGAACGCTAAACCATCTTTTATAGCGATAGCCACTCCACCTCCGCGGCTGTCACGGTCCTTGCGAAGTAGGCTATAGCCTTCTGAAATTATTTCTGAATCATGGATACAGGGATGAAGCCATAATCACCACAATATCAGGTGCAAAAGCCAGCAAGATCTCCTCTAGTTTGTCCGTTTTGTTCACTATACTTCTGGCATTGAAACACAGCAAAGAAAATGACGGCGTGTTTGCTTGACTTCATGTACTTGAACTACTGCCTTCGCGGCCAAGCTTCGCATTCACCAAGCTCTTGAAATAAACAGGGTAGGCGTATTCGATATATACCCCCCTCCCCCCATGTAAAAAAAAAAACAAACCTGGCTACACGCCTGGCCTGACCGCTGCTAAAACACTTGCGGGGGGGGGGGGGTGTTGTGTTATTCCAGCGTATATAAAACGTGTGGTAGATGTGCTCTGATGTCACTCTATGTTTTGCGTGTTGTGACTAGGATTAAATGCTCGTGTAAGTGGCTGGCTGGCTCTCTGACGTGATTGTTCAATTCTCTGTTAGCTTAAAAGAGCGCCGCGATAATGTGCATTGCCGGTCATTCCGTTGCATTGCAAGTTTCAATAAACATGTGCGTTTGATGTGCGCTGCTGAGTCATGAAGATATTGGACCTCCATTGCAAAATTGGGTGATACATGCGTTCATCCACTTCACTCACCGAGTAAAATTGATCTAGACAGCGGCATCTTCTAACACGTAACTGTTGTTTTATTTCATGTACAACCATGCATGCGTAGTCATAATTGTGTCAGTGTATAAAAAAAGTTCAATGGCATGATAAATTTAGTCGAAAGTTTTCGCTGAGTGTGTGTATTTGTTTCGCAGTGGTATTGGAGTAACTGATGTTGATCATGATGCTGTTCTCAAGAGGAGTAATCATTGCCACGAGTGCGAGTGAAATCCGTTTCTTGAGGAGTGCACTGTCTTCTGTTCAGCGCACACGGGCCACTTTCGAGGCAGTCTAAATGCAGCAGTGAGTGCGTCGACATGACCTCCGTTTCTCTGACCAAACGTGAAGTAACTGGCCTTCTTACAGCACGTGCTTGATCTAAGTTGTTGCATGCTTGTATACATCGCATTTGTTTGGCTTAATAGCCTATTGATGTGTTCACGTACAGCATGTACATATTTCTCTCCTAAAAATTGAAATCGTTCAAGACGTTGGCGTGCGTCCATGTCTGTTTCGTCGTTTGTTGACAATTGGCTGCACTGAACGCTGGTCGTTTAAGGAGCACCAACTCGAACCTGTACGTTGTTAATTTTAAGGTTTCTTGGCCATGTAGCCTAGTGAACGCTATTCCTGCTAATTGCAAAAAAGCAACAAGTGCTCGTGCCTCTTCGAGGAAACCAAGAGCCGGTATAGAGAATACTCACATGAATCGGTCGTTGCTATCCGCGAGGAAGTGCAGGCGCACGGCGGTCGATACGAACCTCCATGTTGGCTCTCCGAGACAGAAGCGCCACGAGCGGGTTGCAGAGCGACTGGTCAAGCGCGGCGTTTTCAAGACGTGCGCGGTGCTGCTGAAAGGCGCATTGCAGTCTCATAAGCTTTTTGAATTGTTCCAGGACAAGAATGTTATTTTGTGAGAGTCCCTTCGATGCATAAAAAGGTAAGGGAGGTTCAGCTTTTCAGAGCAATTTTCAGAAGATTCTAATTATAGAAAGCTGTAAAAACTAAGTTTTAGCACACGACACACATCTTTCCTTGACATTTTACAAATACAGCCATACTGAGCAAGCGCAGGAGTTGCAGAGACACCGAATCACTTATGCACTCATCTAGGGATCTTGGAACGCTGACAGAAACAAAAAGTGAATTAAACGTACATGAATCAATCGCAAATAAAAATTACATTTAAACTCTACACAGTTGACGTTGAAAAAACCACCAGGGCTGCGCACAACACACAGTCGCAGCAAAGCTCGCAGAGCGTCCTTTCCAAAGTTTGTTGTACTTTCTTTGCCCACTACACCATAAACCACACGAGATATTGTTGATGAGGGTTCCAAATGGGGGATGCATATTTTAATTTTGACCTGATAAGAGACTGATAGGCGAGTAGTTTTACATCTTGAGGGGCATGGCGCAGATGGCGTTTTAAAACCCGAGAGTTTTATTGGCAGATGAAATGGTGTTAGTAATAAGTCGCCCAGGTTAAATCACTGTAAAGGGTTACTCCAAGATATTTGTAGGAAAGAACTAGTTCAAGGTTAGCGCAAGCAATTCGGTAAAAAAAAATAAGTGGATTTTTACGGTAGTGGAAAGAGACAGTCTTGCATTTATTAGGGTTTAGTTCCATTAGCCATAGGTTACACCATTCTTGCACACTTCGCAAGTCATTTTGAAGAGATGCGTTATCGGAAACGTTAGCAATGGTATGATAAATTACGCAACATACGGATATTAGATGAGACAGGCAATGGTAGATCATTAATGTAAATTAAGAACAACAGTGGACCAAGTACGGACCCTTGAGGAACACCAGAAGTTACGGGGGTAGCACTAGATATATGGTTATTAACAAAGACGGATTGTGAGCGATTACTTAAGAATTCTTTAATTCGTGCTAAAATATTGGGATTTAAATGTAACACATCAAATTTTAGTAGTAGACGATCAGGAGGAACTTTGTCGAAAGCTTTTGAAAAATTAAAAAAAACATGGCGTCAATCTGTAAGTTAGAATCCGAATTTACATGCAGGTCGTGAACAAACATGGCTACCTGCGTTTCGCACGAAATTACTTTCCTGAAGCCATGCTGTGATGGTTGAAAAAAGTGGTTAAAATCGAGAAAGTCTATGATATGTGTATAGGTGATGTGTTCAAGCATTTTACATGGCACACGGGTTAATGAGATGGGGCGATAATTTAATGGGGACTGTTTATTACCGGATTTGTAAACTCGAACGACCTTTCCATGTTTCCAGTCAAGAGGTAGCATGCCTGTTGAAAGTGACTGTGAAAACAATAAACATAAATATTCGGCACAAATGTGTTTCGTGTTCTTGAGAACTTTTGATGTAATATCATCCACACCAGCCAACGACGAGAGTTTTGTATTGTCTATTAAGGATGAAATACTGGATGGAAAAAATGTAATTGGTGGCATGGTACATTCAACAGCGGCATGGGTAACATAGAATGACACTTCAGTTTCATGAGTAAACACTGATGCAAAGGTGGTGTTGAAGACATGGGCGCATTCACCGTCTGCTAGGGCATCACCTGACTCGTTTGATAAGGTAACAGAGCGCGTGTCATGAGGGTTTATAACTTGGCAGAATTTTTTCGGGTTGTTCTTAAGCATGTTGGGTGAGTCAGAGTGAAAAAATAAGCGTTTAGCATGACGGATGGCTTCGAGGGAAGCACTTTCAGCGTCTTTGTACGCATTCCATGCATCAGGTGTGTTACGGGACTTGGCTGCGCGGAAGCGTGGTTTCTTTTTATAAAGCTTCAGTGCTTTATCGAACTACGATTTGGCTGAATTAGTAGAGATTGTAATTAGAGGAATGTATTTGTCTACTGAATTGTTCAGTTCCTTTAAAAATGCGCCAACTTTCGTCTACAGTATGAGAAGGAAAGGTGCTTTTCAATTTGGGATAAAACTGCCCTATGTCATGGTTACTTGCTTCATAATTTCCTTCATCCTATAAACGAATGGTTTTTGTAGCAGTTGGGGCCAGGAGAGGTTTTACCACAAAGTCTATATGAATAACCTTGTGGTCACTGATTTCGGGAAGATACCTAATGGATGAGACGCCTTCGGGGTAATTTGTTAGGACAAGGTCTATAATATTATGGCAGTTACCTGTGACACGAGTCGGTTCTGTGACCACTTGGGATAATTTAAAATTTAAGCACGCCTCAAGAAACTCGTTTGATTCCTTTAGTGTAGCCATTACAGCATGTGCATTTGACCAAGTGATATTAGGAAAATTAAAGTCTCCAAACAGATTCACATTCATTTTAGGGTGTTTGGTTGTTATCTCATTAAGTAGGTTGTTCAACTTGAAAGAGAAGTCGGGAGCACTTTGAGGGGGCCTATAGCAAACGTCTAGTAAAATCGAATGAGGTGAGGCATGATAGTCAGGCCTTATGATTTCTCGATCAGATACAAAGTTTACAGATGTACAGGATATGTTTTGTCTCACGGCAACAAGTACCCCCCCCCCCCCCCTCGTGCCCATGCGATCGTTTCGAAAAATTTGAAAGTTTGGTAGGTCAGCGAGGACTTCACTGTCCGTTACGTCTCCTGTAAGCCATGTTTCAGTTAATATTAAAAGATTGCTGCGAGATGACGAAATCATATTAGAAATGATATCACGTTTTGGAAGAAAGCTGCCTATGTTAGTGAAGATAGCTGAAAGCGACAAGTTTGATTGCGGAGAACGCAGCAGGCGGGAGGGCGCATGTTGATGACTGGGCAATTGCTATATTTCTTCAGCGGATTCTGTTGAATGGTCAAACACGTATCGTTTATATCCAATGTTTTGAAGCGCAGCAAATAGGTCGAGGATTTCGATTCGGCGAAAGCGATAAGATGTTTGTGAGCAGATCTGATGGATGGGGAGTTATGCGAGCTACGGTTGAAACACGGCAATGTGTGGAGGGAACAAACACTAATAGTGATTTGATTGATATGTGGAGTTTACCATCCCAAAACCACTATATGATTATGAGAGACTCTGTAGTGGAGGGCTCCGCAAATTTCGACCAACTGGGGCTTTTTAACGTGCACCCACACCTGAGCACACGGGCCTACACCATTTTCACCTTCTTCGAAAATGCGGCCGCCACAGCCGGGATTCGATACCAGGACCTGCGGATCAGCAGCAGAGTACCTTAGCCACTAGACCACCGTGGTGGGGCCAACCCTAATAGTGAAAAACCAACTTTGATTCAAAGTCGAAGCAATCACTATGGTTTACAAATGACATTTTTCTCATCTATCATATGTAGTTGCACTGAATTTACGACAACTTTTTATTATTACGAAAAATCTTTCTTATAGCGCCCTCTTTCCACGCTATCGTTGATCAGTGCACTTCATGGAAAGGCGTAAAATTCGTCTTTGATGACACACCCTTTCACGTGCTTTGCGCGCTTGCTTGCGTTCTCTGCTGTACGCGAAATTGTGAGGTGAGTTTTATCGTTCGCGAACGTCTTGAATGCAGTGTCCAATGGAATTACATTTAATATCGAGTGCTTTTGCCGGTACCTGCGGAAACAATATGCTGTGCAAGGGTGTGGTAGCAACAAACGTATGCCTGTTGACCCATGTCTTCTAGATAAGAAACAAGGACAATGGCTCGGAATGCACCGCTCGTTGGACTTTCATCCATTAGTATTCCTCCAGCCCGGTTTCTTTCTTGAGCATGCGGTGCCTACGATTATTCGCGTTAGTGGTGATCATATCCGGCCAAGTTATCTATCACGCTACTATTCACATGTCTGCATTCGCATACGTAGCGGTAATTTATCAGGTCGCAATGCAAAAAAAAAAAGAAAAGAAAATTAGCAGATCCCACGTACAGTGTGAATCGGCGATATGTGAAGCACGAATTAGAAACGTTGATATGCCACTTTCAAATCACCCCAACGTAACGAGGTGGAGGTAAATTATGCCGTACACGACCTCTCAGTCATGATTATCATGTTTGGATGCGTCGTTACCTTCGTCATCTATTCACGTCACGTGATGCCAAATTTAGTATATGTGGAGCTAGCGAAGCGGCCGCGAGCACGCTATGAGCGTGGTATGTTGTCATGTTTTTTCATGACAAGCGTCTCATGATTATCATGTTTGCACAAGTCATATACCTTCGTCATCCATTGACGTTACGTAACACCAAATTTCGTATATGTGGAGCTAGCAAAACGGCCTTGAGTGCATCGTGAAGGGCCCAATATATTCCAAGGTAACATTGACGCGCGCGCACGCTGGGCACAGCGACGCTTCGTTAGCAAAACGTGACAAAGCGCGACCGGCACGACCGGCGTCCGTCGGCGCAGCCCGACGGCAACTGGCGCGAAATGCAACATGCTGCATGCGGCGCTAATGCGCACCATTCACGTACCGTAATACCAAATTTGGTATACGTGACGCTAGCGAAATGGCCGAGAGCGCATCATGAGCGTGGCTTGTAATCATGTTGTAACATAAGACGCATGTCACGATTTTCAAGTTGGGCTCTGTCGCTTGTGTTCACCATGCAATCATGTCATACCATACCAGTTTTGCAACATGTCATGTGAACGAAACCACCGCAAGAGCAGCAAGACCATGAAATGTATATCATGACATTTATGACATACATGTCATGATTTTCATGTTATGACTAGTCAAATATGCTAGTCGTATACTCATGTTATGCCATACTAAGTTTGGTATCGATACCATACATTATCCAAACGGCCGGGAGAGCTA